GTAAGTGAAATTTAAATATTAATTTAGATACCTAAAAGGTTGTATATAGGTGTTATTCATAAAACTTAATAATATACATGTTATATATTTTGTAAACATAAATATTTTTTAAACTTCCTTTACATAATACGATCGACTTACGTAACACTGAACGTATTAGTTCTAAAATAATATATCTGTCAATTTTAAATCACAAATAGTTAATCGGCGTGAATCATAAATCAAAAAATACTATGAGAAAATGTCGGTAAAGGATATTACTTCATGCGAAATAAATAATAATATATGTTTCCATAAAATTTAATTTTACTATATAAAATAATAAATAGCATTAATTTAAACGTTTTAAACTCAATACAATGTACAGATTAAAAAATATATAATGATACAGATTATAAAAAAAGATTAACAGCTGTCAAAACATTTACGCAAATAGGTTAAGAATCAATTCGACCTCATTAATGAATTAATCTTTATTATTTAGTCATGACGACATGGAAATGTAATTATATTGATAAATTGGTTTTCACCACATTAAAAATGATCTAACATAGTAATCAAAGATTATGTGACACAAACTAGAATCGAATTTCCATAAAAAGTTGATAAGTGAGTTTTTATTTGATCTGTCAAGACGGATGTGTGGCTAGCTTTGAGTGGAAGGACATAGACGTCATATAAACTAGATATACTAGCTCACTATGTATGGATTTAATTTAAAAATAACATTATGTATGTTGCTGTTTAAGAAAATGCAACTTATAATATATAACATATACGCATAAGAGTAAGCCATTGACTAAATATTAAAAAGCGTTTATACTTACGTTTAAAAATATGTTATGTTTTTCATTTTATATTAGTCTATGTATCGTGTATTTATTTTAAGGGATTTATATAGTAATACATTTAATATTAAAAGGTTAAATATTTTTTAACACCATCCAATTTATAGGACAGAGATGGTGAAACAAAATATTTTTAATTATATATTTTATACGTATTGACTCTTTTCGACACAATATCATCATATTTTAAAAAAACAATTAAAATTTCTTCAAATTAAGTTTATGTATATTATAATTGAATTTATTAATAATATTTAATTATGCTCACTTTTTGTGCATTTTATAATCTGTATGAATACCACAGATAAAAAATTGAAAACACAAAACAATTAACATTTATTATCGGTCAGTTTAACATTATTCGAAAAAAGAAAGTACGTAAATATATGCAAGAGTTTTATATTTGCTTTGGCAGACGTAATTCGGTGATTGTAAAACCAAAATTATGTGGCTGGGGTCTGCATATGTCAATAAAAAGGTTATCGCGGGCTTTGTAGAGTTTAAGTAATATGGCTGACATATAAAACCAAGAAGGTTTTACTCTTTATTAATTTAATAGTAAACCAACGTCAAATATATGTATATATATGAAAAAAATCCTTATTTTTATTTTGATAAGACGATATTAATAAAATTTTAAGTGATATTTTCTATGGAAATATTCAAAAATCTTGTCATACAAAAACATCAAAATTATAGAAAATAATGTAATTTCGTATTCATATCGAAATAACAGATTAATTGTTAAATGTAACTAATAATGTTTATTTATATATAATCTTTAATTTATTAAGAAACTATCGCTATTAATGTATTACCTAATGACATACATAAATATTTAACATACTGACTTATAAAGTTACGTGTTCTTTTATTCATATTAAACGGAACATTGTGAAGAGAAAACAGATACATAATATATATATATTTATATATATATATATATATATATATATATATATATATATATATATATATATATATATATATATACATATAAATATATATGTATATATAATATTCAGATCATTGTGACCTGCTTGAATGAATATAAAGAAATATGTCATACTAGCTTTCCGCCCGCAGCTTCGCACGCGTGAAGTTCGGTTATATCGCGTCTCCAAGAGAACCTTTCAAAAGTCTGGGATAAAAACTATCCTATGTTCTTTCTCAAAGTCAACTCTATCTCTGTACCAAATTTCATTAAAATCAGTTCAGTGGTTTAGGCGTGAAAGCGTAACAGACAGACAGACAGAGTTACTTTCGCATTTATAATATTAGTAAGGATATGTACATTATAAGAAGATGCTTTTGTTTAACCAAAGAGGTTTTATTCTTTTACAAATGAATGTTTAACATAGATTGATGATGTCAGATCAAATTAATGTGTTATATGATGTCGCGTTAAGAACTCGTGAGATAAAAAAAAGCATCTAAATTATTACAAGGAGTTTGTGTATGTTTGAAATATAGGCTAGCATTTAAATATCATTAAAAATAAAAATCTCGTGTTTTAAGCTTAATGTGTTTTTACTTAAAATGTTTTTTATACTGTTTTTTTCTTGATTTTATATATAAATAATATTAATAATATTTGTCATTGTCGTAAGGAACTTTTGTAGGTAATGAGATCTAAGATTTTCGCGAGTACACATTTAAATGAAACTAATATTTTCGGATTTTACTTCGCGTTTTATTTTTAATTAGAAACTACATACTCTAGAAACTATAGAAACTAGATGTGTGCCACATCTCGTCTGCTCGTGATCACGGTTGCTGAAAAGTAGCCGAAACGTCGGGAGTATGTAATTTCTAATCAAAAATAAAACGCGAAGTAAAATCCGAAAATATTAGTTTCATTTAAACTTTTGTAGGTCTTCGATGACGAGTCTTACTTCTGTTTATAAAAAGACTTCTTATGAATCATGTTATTCACACAGGTAAATGAATCACTTAATACTCTCTCTACAGATTTGACTTGGTTGAACTTTTAAATTTCATAAACAATTCCATGAAATTACCAAGAAGGATTTATATTTTTAAATAAGTTTTATGGAATTAAATTTGGTTTTAAAAAAAACTTGAATAATTCAAATAACCTCTATTGGTTACAAAAATATTGTTATCGCTACGTGATGGCGTTAATGAATTAATTAAGTTTCATCATATAGCTTGCAAAAATTATGTTGCCATATTGCGATACTGATCACAAATTTCGTCTTATTTTAATTAAGAATATTAGAAAATTTGACTGTTATTGGCATATATTTCATCCTTTCTAAGATTAACTCTACCGTAAGAGTTTAAAATTTGTTGAATATTTTCTTGTAAAATACAAACGTTTAGTCAGTGGTGGCCTAGTGGTTAATAGGCCCGCCTCTCATACATGAGAGCGCAGGTTCGATCCTGGCAAGTACCAATGTGATTTTTCTGCGTCATATGTACTTTTTAAGAGTATTTAGACATCACTGATTAATGCATTCCCAAACGGTTGATGTCAGGCAGGCGGCCTAAAAACATTTAGCCAAAACTATTCACAACATGTAAGGCAGACTGGCTAAAGCTGGGAAATTGCCAGGTAGAAGATGAAGAAGTTAATTCTTTCTAAGATTAATTCTATTAGCTTCAAATTTTTTGAATATTTTCCTGGATATAAACGTTTGTTCTGAAGAATGATTCCTACCTAAGATATGCAATCTATCTAATATGCCTAAATCGTGTAATTTCTTCATAAGTTTCACTCTGATGACTAATGGCATACATTTTGCAACTCCTTAAAATCTTTTTTAACTTCACATGACCTTAAGACACTTTGTCTTTGTATTGTGTATGTGTTGCGAAAAATCTATTCGTACGAGACGTCGTGACATAGTTAATTGGTGAATTTAAATAGAGGATGCATCTTTACTACTATTTGTGCCTTTCATTGTTGACTTTCAAAGGTTGATTATTACTACCTAAAGTTATTTTTCTTACAGTTTCCTTAATCTTATATAATTAAAATAAATATATACCTAACTAAGACGTCTTAAAAGTTAAACATTGCTTATGACCAAAATATTAATTTTACTATACTTAATGAATTCTCATCATTAGGTGAGATGCATCTATATCTCATGATCTTAATTTAACTACACCAGAGATAGAGAGATCTAATGCATCCTTTAGAAATTATTCTGTTTTTGCACACCAGTCTTAATAGCTCTGTTATTGTAAAAAGAACTTTATTTTTCTAGTCTTTGAGTTCATTTACACATTGTTTTATATGAATTGTAGTTCGTACACATTATTTTTAATAGATGGCTATAGGAATTACAATGTCACAATTAAGCAAATGTTTCAGTAATTAATACATTTTAAAAGTTCAACATAATTAACTAACCCAGTGTTTTTAGCTTTACTTAACAACCAACGTATTTCTAAACGCTTCTATTAAACATTGAAGTCCCTTTTTCTTAATGAATTGTTTATTATTAAAAATAAAGCCAAAATTTTATTTAAAATTATTATTATGATACTTTCGACTTTTGATTATTCTTTTTTTAAAGCTTGAATTCTATTCAATTTGAATTTTACATCAGTACAGTACTTACTTCGTTTATTAGATTTTTTCGGTCGGTCAAGTGTAATTAAAATCTAAGTATTATAAAAAAAACGAATTAATTGAAAAAGTTAACAACTGTAAAAATAGAATATCTTCAAGCGTCAGCTATAACAAAAAAAAATGACGGTAAATTACTTTTGAATAAGGTTACCATTAATTAAAACAAGAATATGTATTACGAGAAGTAAAAAAAAATCACACACAAAGTTATAGAGCCAACCTGTCTGGAGGTGTTCGGATGATAATTATTTTGGAAAGTCGGTTCCGGTACAACCTGCGGTCATAAAATAACCTGTAGATTGATTAGGTGACATTAATTAGTGGGGAGACTTGAGACAACGGATGGCTCCATTGATACTTTTATTAAGCAACGGCAAGCGCCCGGCGCACTCGCGCGCATGCGCAGACATATTCCCGCCAAGCGCGAAACGCGCGAACGCGTCCTACATTTTTTTTTTAAATAATAAAAAAAAGTTTTAATATGTTTTGAATTTTTTTTTTGTAATAAAATTCAATTTAACATAACAAGTGCTGTGGGATGTGTCACCATGTGGGTGTTTGGCTTGCTGTTGTTGGTCAGCGAAATAAACGCTTTTAATGTCAGCCTCACGGGTTTTAACGATGTGGTGAGTTCAGAAATTGATAAAAAATAAATTGTAATACTAATTATGTAATAATAAAACAAATAAAAGAATATATATACGTAAAATGGTTGTAAAAATCCGTCCGCCTTCGTTACGTTTATAGCCCTACGCTATGTAAATATGATCGTGCATATTTGTATTAAGATTCATGGGAGTTCTTCTAGAGTATGTAACGCATGCTATGTAATGTTCAAGATTATATAACACTCCCAATTTATATTCAAAGATCTTTCATTGAGATAACTTCGATAAATAAAGAATACACGAGTTGCCAGTAAAAACTATTCATAAGTAATTCTGCCCTTAAATAATTTAATTTCTAAATAAAAATAGATTAAATCAAATAAAATAAATATATCACTATGATGTAAAATGTAGAAATATTTTGATTGCGTTTATATTTTATATATAGTTACATAATATTTGTTTATCAAAAAAAAAGAAAAAAAAACAAATGACATTTATTCAGAGAACGTTCTAACTTGTAACCGATGTTGGGTAAAATATTTAAATTTATACCTCTTCAAATTTAACGAAATTGTGTATTTAATTAAATATGTAAAATACCCCAATATAACTGAAGCTTACAAATTTAATGAACATAAAACAGTTATATGGTAAATATCTTTTTTATACTAATTATAAGTATTGCTACATCGAGTGTTTTCACAAAGACATATAATCCTTTATATATATACGTCATAATATATACTACTATTATTAAGGATAATTGTTTAATAATGTACATAATTTACCTTAAATTCTTCTCCTTACATTAAATTATCATATGATAAATATTTCACATACATAATAATTGACTACAATAGTTGCCAATGCTAATTGCATATTTTGATCCACGGAATCGAAAGTTGAATTTTGTAACTACTAGGAATGTAATCCTATCGACCTTGCTTGTTGTGTGCAATTATGTATTTACATTAAAAAATATTAGGATAGATATGATGTTGCCGTAATTATTAATGTATTTTTAAGTCAAGGTTGGCTTTGCTTAATGTAATATTAGTTTGGTAAATGTGATTTGATCGTCAAAGATTTGGCGCTAAAAAAAGTGTCACATATGTGTCAAAACAAATAAAAATGTTGACGTTGTTAAAATATTTCGTTATTCCAGTGCGAATGAAGCCATATAATTTAAAAAGAAACCATTATTAAATAGATACTTTTAAAATAGTAACTTGTCTAAAATTGTATGGTTTTTTTCTAACAATATTATTGTTATGTATTGCTTAGTTTAAACAATTTTTGAAAAATCCCGTATTAATAGACTTGAATATAAATACCGATTTTAATTTCAAAATTTTGACATTTGAAAAAAAAACTTTTTAATTTTCATTCCCGTTACGTGTAGCTTTATTGGTTTTATATCTATTTACTTATTACATTTTAAATAAATTAATAATAAGACATAAAATTTATGACATTTATATTTATTAATAATATCACTTACTATACTCGAAAGAAAAAAAATACATGTTTCAGTTAAAATTATGCTTTAACTGTTAGCATAGGTAGCTAACAGTTATAATATAAATTGCAATTCAAAATGTTGACAGCTTTGTTTTTAAAATTAAATACACATAGATTACAATAATAAGTTTCTCATTTATTTATTATTATTTAAATTAATTAAATATTCGTGTTCTTTTAATTGTGATTTTCCAATTAGTTGCGTCTAATTCTCCAGCATATATTGTATCGGCTGTCTACATTCACCTGACTATCTATAAATCAAGGTTTTGCGAAATATTCGGCACATCTCAGTATTTCGTTATAAGATGTAACCTTTTTGGTTCGACAAACAAATGTGAATGGAAATTTTATATATTAACTGTATAATGAGGAAATATTAAACTGGCAACACAAAGACACTATAAAGTAGGGAGAACTCTCGTTAAATATTCAATTTGTACAATTTATATATCGTTTGTATGAAATAAAGGTTTTATTTATTTAATTTCTTACAAAATATATATTAACTAGCTTTCCGCCAGCAGTTTCGCCCGCGTGGAGTTCAGTTATATCGCGTTTCCAAGAGAACCTTTCAAAAGTCTGGGATAAAAACTATCCTATGTTCTTTCTCAAGGTCAACTCTATCACTGTACCAAATTTCAATAAAAATCAGTTCAGTAGTTAAAGCGTGAAAGCGTAACAGACAGACAGACAGAGTTACTTTCGCATTTATAATATTAGTAGGGATTATCGTTATTGCTAAAAATACTCGTAATATTAATAATATTCTATGTTGTTTCTGAACGTATTAAATTTATTAAATGTGTTTAGAAATTGATGAAGATCTTTTGTAATTACCAAATATCATAGAACAGTGTATGGGCCATCATTATATAATTATATGAGGAGAAATCTATATGGGTATTGGTCACCATTGGGGTACCATTCACAGACGTGAAGCTAAAATAACTATACATATTAAATAATATATTTTTTCTCATTAAAAACATCTCATATTATTTTTATGATTTATTTCTAGTATTGTTTTCATTATACAGACTGGTGAATTACTATCAATATTTAAGGAGAATACTCGGTACATGATTCTCATTCGAATTATGTAAAAAAAATAGGTACTTAATTTTTGACCAAATTTCCGTATAAATAAATAAAGTGTGGACACGTTCCAAGTATCCCAAGTGTAGACGCGTACGTCGGCGTGCTGATACAACACCACGCCGCCGCACGCGTGTGTGTGTGTGTGTGTGTATACCTAATCTGTAGGGTGTTCACACGATGTGTAATTAATTACACAACTTTTGGTTAACTTTACTTAGAAGTTTATAAATATTTATGTTATATTAATTTTTATTTTGTCATATATGATCGTCAAATATCACGTCCTCAAGTATCGATAGTAATTCACCAGTCACCCTGTATATAGTAAGCAAAATTACAGTTAAAGCTTTTATAATATACGAAATAGTTCCTAGTTAGTTGTCAATATTTTAAATGTAGGTCGTTTCAAAGGAATAGTTTTAAATAATATTACAATATAATCAATATGTTATCTATAATTATTGATTAATTCTTAATATTAAGTAATAGTTGGTACTTAAATTGTATTACTCGTGTTAAACGGTCCCATACAACCGGTATGATCGAACGGCTTCACTTGCGTCATCACTAACATGTATTTGACGAAATCTCTATATCAATGTATTATATATAAATATATTCCTAATCTTCTTCTACCTGGAAATTTTCCAGATTTTGCCAGGGTCTGCCTTACAAGAGAGATGATGGTCCGGCAAGCGGCCGGTCGTAAAAACAATTAGCCAAAACTATTTGCAAAATGTAAGGCAGACCCTGGCTAAAGCTGGGAAATTGCCAGAAAGAAGAAACTACATACTCTCGACGTTTTAGTTACTTTTCAGCAACCGTGATCACGGGCAGACGAGATGTGAGTGACTCAAATTGATGAAATTTTTTACGTATTTCAATCGCCATATTGCCATGAAGAGTTCCTTAATATTTTTATTTCTCTTTAATATTAGTAAAAGCATGATTTTAGGTACATTTAAAGTAATTTCAAACCAGCGTCAATTATAATAAATACGATGTGTTCATAGTTTACGACTCTCTTTACGACTTCAAAACCTATTGTTATTTTAGTGTCAAAGCTATTTTAGTTGTAGGTAGAAAATGGTTGTAACCACTTTGTATGGTAAATGGGTAAAGTTTATTTCTTACCTTAAAACTTTTATATTTATATTGAGGGAGTATGTTTAAAGTGGCGTTTATTAGGTAGCCGCTCCGGAAGGTAACACGATGTTATGTGGGGCTCTACTCTTAAATTTCAATCGTTTTGAGACCATGTTCACATATTAAGTAGTTCTGTTTTATGCCTTTGTGATTTACTACTACTACTTTTATATGCAGCATCATCATCATCATCCTATCAGAGCCCAGTGCTGAGCATAGCCTCTTTCTCACATGGAGAAGATTTGAGCGTTAATCACCACGCTTGCTTAACGGATTGGTGATTTCAAACTTATAATTGCGAAATTATAAATCCACTGCAGCTTGATCACGGGCTGGCTCGACCGGAGAAGTACCACTATCTCATAGAATATCGACGTGATATAGCCTTTAAGGGCTGCGTTTTATCCGATGAGTGAAAGAGACGGTTGCCCTTTCCCTTTTCCTATCCTTTTCTCTCCCTATTTCCCAATCAAGGGTGACAAAGCATCCGCCAAACTAGATAGTGGACGTCCATGACCGAAAGTAACTATCTGCATCAAGTAGGCTGTCTGCTCGTTTGCTCTCTTTACCATACTAAAATAATAATATTTGGTAAATAAACAGCAACATTCAAATTACTTATTAAGGTCTACAACGTCCAGTCGCTAGTTAGTGAGTAATATGAACTTACATCTTATAATTATCATTTATAAAGTTATCTGAAACGTTGTAAAAAGTATGAATAACATTTAAACATAGACAAACATACTTGATGAAATTTGTCTTTGTTTTATCATAAAAAAAATATTATTCTCAACATGAACGCAATAATCAAATGTGTCACACAAGTTACCAAATATATGCTTTCAAAAACCTACTTAATACTTCATTCTATTTTTCCTTTAATTACAATTTATGTCTCTTCAAATATAAGTAAAATAATAAACAATTATTAAGTATGCTAACAGTGAACATATAAAGAGAGTTTCCACCTTGAACCAGCGAGCTATCAAGCGTTAAGCTGCGCGTGATTTATGATCAGGCGATTATATGTTTTGTCACTGACAGCATCGTTTACGTGCGCATGCGCACATTAACTGCCTATTACATTATAAACACTTTGTTTAGAAGAAAAACTAATAGTTTATTACCTCTATAAAGTATTATTAAATAAATTTCAACTTAAATCTTATAAGCCCATTCTATTGATGGTCATGATTGTAGTCAATTCACTAAGTAAGATTAAACAAAATAACTCAAATGTTGAA